CCTTCTCCCCCCCCCCCCCCCCCCCGAGAGGGGGGAAAAAATAAAAATCTCTTCTCTTAATGTTCACCTTGGGTTTTGAGTGCTACAGAACTTAGTGCTTGCTTTTCTACTGTTAAATAATTTCTTTATTTTCTGAGGATTTCTGTGGGGAAAGCGATGCTCAGAGCCTAGAAGTATGGTTATTTGTACCTGCAATATTGTCTTTCCTCAGATTTTATTATGTTTGGTTTACTTAGCACAGATGCAGCAGTGAATAGCAACACCAGTCCTTCCCAGTCATCATCTATCAATGACATTTCATCCATGTCAACAGAGCAAACATTGGCCTCAGATACAGACAGCAGCCTCGATGCCTTGACAGGACCCCTTGAAGGATGTCGATGATCAGCCAGGATTGCAGACTTGACTTTGGAAAGGAACTGTTGCTTCCATTGGGCCTGAATTGCTTGTAAGTTAATGGAACCAAGTAGAAAAACTCCATGTTCTGCATGTTCTGCTAAAGTAATGCCTGTTTTTTTTACTCAGTTGTTATGAAATTGCCTGCTTAATGTTGTAGAATGAAAGCAAATCAATGTCTAAAGAACAAAAAAATTTAAATTTAGGCACTATTATAGGCTTTTCTTTGTTTCAGCCTATTTCAGGTGAGCAGTTATAATAGACTTTTAGCCATAACTCCTCTTAAGTGGGTTCATGAATCTTCAGTCCCAATTAGCAGGCTTCTGTGACACAATATTTGTTTACATTTTAGTACAGTATTGCTCATTAGTAGGTTTTTTGAATGTATAGTCTCTATGAAGTTTGTTTTAATGTGTGACTGCAGCCGTTTGCTTTATTTAATGACGGGAGTGTTGTATGTAAGTGTGAACTCACACATTGAATGCTCTCATGTGTGGGATGAATGTTGAAAGGGCAGTTATTCTTCCACATAGCACTTTTTTTGTTTTATTGAGCCCTTTCTATCTTCACTTTCCAACGATTCTGTCTATCTTCTTGTAGAAGAGATAAAACGTGAAGTTTAAAGAATATAGTCATCTGTATTTCACCTATGAGTATGTGTGTCTAACTTTTTCAGTTTTTTTAAACTTGGATGGAAGATACAGTGGCTTAATTAAATCTTAAGGAAGGATGAGTGACTTATCTGTGAAGCAGTGCCTGTTTAGAAGAGGAGAGAGTGCTAAAATGTTCTGTATTTTCTAGCTTGTGATACCGGTCCTTTAACAAAAACAAACAGAAAAGGAAATTATATCTGTGATGCTCTTCATTCACTGCAAAGTCTGATAAAAGAACTGATGAATTGGAGAGACTTGCAGCCTCAGAAAGAGCTGCATAAATGTTTTCCATTTTCTTAATGGGTCCATCCTATCTAGCGAGTGATTAAAGAAATAAAAATACAGTAGTTTTGAGTCACTTATAAATTAAGTATTTGGTTAACAAAGCTTAGCTCTATTCCCGCATTAGGAAAACCTCTCTATTTGTACTGGGGGAGGAAAACATATTTAATACATATTTTCTAAATACAGTGTCAGAGAAGAAGAGGAGATTATTTGCTGTCTCAATATAGGCTTATCAATACAGTTTTCGGAATCAGATAATACAAACATTGTCTGTTAAATTGCACAATAAGTTGAATTAGAAAATGCATTTGCAGTAGAGTAGGGCTTAAATTGCTTTATACTACACGCTTGTGAATTTGTGCACATTCACTCTGGAGTGCACGGGTGTGAAATTTTGCTACAGATTCTTGTGTGTGCATGCGTGTGAGATTAAACTATATAACTATAAGAGTAATACAGATGTACAAGATGAGGTAAAACACCACTTTCTTAAAGGCACTATATTTAGCTGTTGATCCAGATACTCTTGACTTGAATATATAAATAGAACTTATAAAATATACTGGCCCAGCCAGCCACTACATTACTGACATATTTCTCTTGTAAAAGAAAATTGTCCATTGTTTCTGACCTTATGATTTGAAAAGCAACGATTTCTCTTTATGCAAACATTGTTTTTATATTAAAATTGTACCCCTTTTTAATAGCTTAATTTGCTGCAGCAAAAATACAAAGGTTTTACTATCCCAGAAGGTTAAAAAAAAAAAAAATTACCAAAGTACTTAATACGATGTTAACTTCAGAATTGTCATCTGGAATCTTGGATTTTTAAAATTCTGTTTAATTGAATTGCAGGATATTGGGGCTTGGGCTTTTTCTTGTCGTTTGGTTTTAAACCTACGGATATCTTAGTTTATCTTTGGATACTGACACTATACATGAAATATTTTTAGTGCATTTTTGTCACTGGAAAAAACATTTAAAAATACCTATTTACCACATAGCAGAACAGTACAGGTTGCTGTTCTTTTGCATTTTTTTAATCCTTGTTATTTGCATAAGTTAAAATCACTAAAGACACCTGTTCAAAATGAACATTAGTGATTCACTATGGAAGTAATCTACTGGATTTCATTTTTCAAGATTTTTATCTTTTCAACTGAAGTTGCACTGTGCTATGTTCATTTTAAGAGTTACTGCTTTAGAAGACTTAATGCAACAAAGATTTTCTTTCATCTTTTGGATATTCGCAGAGTTGAACTTTTCCTATTGGACTTGGGCTGCTCAGAACGGGGGGGGGTGGACCAGATGATCTCCAGGTCTCTTCCAACCTAAATTATTCTGTGATTCAAATTGTCTTTTAATGTCTTAACACAACTGCCCTATGTCCATGATTTGAACTGGTATCTGACCTTCTCCTAGTACGTACTGTTAGCTTGAATAGTGCTCTTGGAACAAAAACCCCCCTGAGATTAACTGAGCTTATTTGTACATCTTGTTGTAGGAAAAGCTGTCTCATACCTTATTTTTTTTAATGTCTTCTTGCTATGGCATACATTGAAGCTTCAAAACTTTACAGAAATGTTGCTGCCTTTGGAGCATGCATGCAATGTCTGTGGATATTGTGGATTTTGATTCCAGTATAATTCAAAACCCAATTGCTAATAACCTGAATGAACATCGATCTCAAGAAGGCACATATGCAGATTATATTCAGAAAAATGCATGCAGAATAGATGCATGCTAAAGTTCCCATGCTATTTCAGTGTGCACATAGAGACTATAAATGCACTGCATGCAGATTATATGCATATAGCTGTATTCCTGACTGCAGATTAAGTTCAGTGCCACGTTTGTGAAATGGTCGTCAATGCCGTGAGAACCTCATCTTTGATGGAAAACAAAATGCACATGTAACTTGACAGGGGTTTAAAAGTTTGGTGTGCAATATAATCACTTTTATTCCTAATACTAAAATCATGTATGTAAAGTGATGCAATTGACCATTTTTTTGCACTTTGGCATTTATAAATATTTATATGTATTTAAAGATTAAGAATATGTGAGTGTGTGTATACATATGCATATATATATATTAAGAAACCAGCTCAGTTTTGTAAACATGAATGTTACTTTTCTTTGAGAGACTTTGTATAGTGTTAACACTACTGCGGTATACATAAACAATTTATGAAACATGACTAAAAATAAGTGGTGGTCAACATAGATACAATCTGTAATCTTAACTGCTCACCTGAAAAAAGAGAGGAATCTATGGCTATCAATCAGATTATTTACCAGAAATGTTATGTTAAATCTATGAACACTGAGTAGCTGAATGGCATTGCAGAAATGGAGTATGTTTTAAACAGTTCATTTCATCTGTGCTCATATCATTTTTCCTCAGAAAAAAACCAAACCTTAGAAAGAGAAGCTTGGCCTTTTGAAATTCAGATAAGCAGCCTGTAAGTGTGCTTTGAGGAAATATTGTGATATGACAAGTCTGTTTTTTTATTGAAAAAGATGAGAAATGAATGTCAAAATTAGGGCTTCGTCTGCATGGATCATACAAAGTAAACTAGTCTAGTGACTGGAAACTAGCGTTTGCAAACAGCCTTTTAAATTTTGTAATGTTTCCGGTAAGGGTTTGCATTTCTTTGTCAAAATAATGAAAATTAAACTCAACCTTAACTAGAAATTAACTAGTTGGTTGGTAAGTTTCAAGAACTGTTAGGAACCAGAGGGCTCTTGAGGTTTGCTTTGTCTTTAAGTCCTAACAGAGCATATGTGTTTAGTCAAAGTTAGTTTAAAAAAAAAAAAAGGGATACCGTATGTTTAATTTTTCTTTCCTAAAGGAAGGACCTTAAATGCTAAATCAGTTTCCTTTTTAGATCTGATTGTATTTGGCTTAAAATTACGATTTTATGAATGAAGTAGGATTTAGACATTCAGAATACAGCTGACATACAGAGTCTCCAAGAACTGAGTGAATGAACCTTTTTTTTTTGGCAGAAGTGCAGTCCTCTAGTTTGGTGTGCGCTGGAAGTTCAGATGTTAAAGTGCAGACAAATCTTTACTGAACATAATGCTGTTTT